TTAAAAAAATAATAATAGTAATATTTTTATACATAGTAAAAAAAAAATGATAAAATTGAACTAAAGTTGGTTTGCTTTTTTGGTGTTTTTTTTTTTTTCGAGTGTGGGAATTGAGAGCAGAAGACGTTTAACAGTTTTTCTTCAAGTTCGCCGCGCGGCGATCGAGCGAAATTCCAGTCGAGGTTTTTCTAGTTCGGTATTTGTGCTCGTGTGTGTGTGTGTGTGTGGGTGTTTCTTTGTGTTTGTTTGTGTGTGTGTGTGTGCAACGAGCTCAACGCACGACTTTATGAATCGAGCATAAAATTTCGAGTGAGCTCCTCGCACAACCCCATTTCGCCTGCCCCCACAAATATCAACAACAACAACGACTATATATCCTGCTGGTGCTGCTGCCGCTCCTGCTCCCGCTCCTGCTCCTGCTCCGTTTGCCGGCCGGAGTTGTTTTTGTTTTTGGTTTGGAAATTGTCTGCTTCTTCCCCATTTGTGCTGTGCTCTGCTGTGTGCACGTGCCTAACTTATATGACTATATCACAATGTTGCTGCCGCTCTGCGCCTGCTTTCTGCATCCTGCTCCTGCATATCACGCTGTGTGTGTGTGTGTGTGAGTGTGTGTGTGTCAGTGTGTGTGTGTGCTACTGCTGTGACTCCTGCTCAATATGGCCGCCACACGGTCTTCTGCTGGACAACGGCATTCTTCAGCTTGGTTGCCGCCGGCAGCGTCGTCTCGGGCGACGCCTGACGCGGAGCATGGACGGCGGCCACCGCTGCTGCCGCTGCTGCTGCTGCTGCCGCTGCCGCTGCGGACGACTCGTGGTAGAGCGGCTTCAGGGCGGACGGTGCTTTCAGGTCGCAGCGCATACGCAGCGGCACGGAGATCTGCTGGGTGGGCGAGCTGCGCGTCGAGTCGATGGACTTGTCCAGCTCGTACTCGGACTTGACCACATCGATCTGTTCGTCGTCGGAGTCCGCATCCGAGGCGGACTGTTCGTGGATGGAGCTCGTCTCGATGGAGGTGTTCAGCTTGAGCAGCACGTGCGGCATGGATGTGGGCGTGGGCGTGGGCGAGGAGCTAGATGGGCGCGACGAGGCGGGGCTCATGTGCGCCGTTTCGGCGCCACTCAAACCGCCATGATGCAGTGCAGCGGCGGCGGCATTGCGCGCCCTCAAACCCGCGGCGGCCGCAAAGTTATACGGATGGAAGGCGTGGGGCGTGGCCTTCTGGCTCTGATGCGCGGCGGCGGCAGCTGCGGCGGCGACGTGATTGAACGGAAATTGGGGCATGGCGTACGCTGACGCTGGCGGACCGCCCGGCGGCGAGGGCATCATGGAGGCGGGTGGCACCACACCGCCCACGGGCACGCCCACGACTGGCGGCACCGGTGGATAGTCGGCGGCAGCGGCGGCGGCAACAACGGCGGAGGCGGCGGTGGGCATGGCGGCGCCACCAGCAGCGCCCGGCGAAATGACGCCGCTGCTGCTTCCATTGGGCGAGGTGGCGGCCTTGGACAGCGCCGGATGATGCACTGCAGCGGCGGCTGCCTGCTGATGGCGGAAGTAGTCCGCATAGCCGTAGGTCATGTACGCCGCATCCAGCCAGGCGGGATTCAGCATGAAGGGATTAAATGCGCCGGGATGTGGATAGCCATAGCCTGAAGAGCAAAACGGAAGGAAGAAGAAGAGGAAGAAAATAAATTAGTACGATCCGTAAGAGAAATCTAAAATCTTTTCTTTTTGTTTAAAAACTGGAATTCCGGGTGGGATTATTGGCCGGGCCTTGAGGTTGGGTTTGGGTTTGGGTTTGGTATTGGGTTTCGGGTTTTTGGGTTTTTGGATTTGGGGCACTCAAAACTGAAAATTGTAATGGAAACTAAAAAACTCACTTTGCTTACTTCTTGGCTCCCGCGGCCCGTCGACCGTTACTTTAATGGCCTTGCTGTAGCTGGCGATCTGCACCGGATACGTGGCGATGGTGATGGTCAGCGTAAAGGATTTACCACGGCCGGAGCGGCCGACAAAGCGCAGATCGTTGAATTTGGCCACCTGATTCTTCATCGTGGTGGTGCAGTTGCGCAATTCGCCGCAGTAGTTCTCATCGTTGCCGCACTTGATCGAGACGAGGGTGCCGTCGGGCACATCGTCCAGGGCGATCACCTTGAAGGCGCCCGGCAGCGATTTGTTGGAGCGCCAGTGATTGGGCAGTGCGCTGCACAGGATCGACGGCGAGCCGGTCTGGGCCAATTCGCCGTGATATTCCTGCAGCATCTCGTGCAGGCTGGCGAACATGTCCGTCATCGAGCTGGGCATTTTCGCCGCATTCGCGTTGGAGCTGTTTGAACTGCTGTTGTTGTTGTTGCTGCTCGTGTTGTTGTTGTTGTTGCTGCTGCTGTTGTTGTTGTTGCTGCTGCTGCTGGTGTTGTTGTTGTTGTTGTTGCTGCTGCTATGATGGCTATTGTCCGGCGTGGAGCTGCCCGTACTGCTGGCCGAATGTGTGCTGATGTTGCCTTGGCTAACATTTGTGGCCGCCGCTGCGGCCGCTGCCGCCGCTGCTGCTGCGGCCAGGACCTGGGTGTGGGCGGACGTATTGGCCACCAGGGTGGGTCCCGTGGGCAAATGCATTTCTCACAATTTCACTTTAGTATCACGTGCTCAAAAAAAAAAAGGAATCAATTGTTGCTGCTGCGGTTATCCAAGTGGCGTTATCCTGGTAATCCTTCTTTGCACTTGCACTTTGAAATTGTTTACCAACAATAACCAAAAAAAAAATATATGTGTATATGTCGAATTTTTGTTGGGGAAAATCAAAGAAACGCTAGCTAGCTGGCAATGCCGCTGCCCTTGCACGCTTCGATTCCGTTCGCACTCCAAGATACACGCAAAAAAAATTTCTTGTAAGTCTTTCGTTTTAGTATAATTTCGAATTCGCTCGTTCGGTGGTGCCCGTTGCAGTTGCAGTTACAGTTGCAGTTACAGTTACAAAATGTTGCTCACTACGGTTCACTTTTGAACTAACGAAACGCGGCGAAAATTGTGTGCTCAGCTCTCGCTCGCTTCGCTTCGCTTCTGCTTCGTCGTCTTTTCTTTTGATTTTGTTCTCTCTTGTCTGGCTGCGTTCTCGACACGTTAAAGTCGCTGTGTGAACTGTTTCTCAACTGCGATCGTTGCCAGTATTTAAAGTAGAATGCGTTGCCGTCGCTGTCGGCGTCGGCGTCGCTGCTGCGCCGCTGCAAGACGGCAGTGGCGCGCTCAGTATTTCGCTCTCGCTTGCACTGCAGCGTGACGATGAGGCGCACCCGCTCGCACTCGCTGCAATAATTCAGGACGTCGCTGCGTGGTTTGGTTGGCTCGTTCGCTTACCTATTGTGTGTGCGTGCGTGTGTGTATGTGTGTGTGTGTGTGTATGGGCTAAGGGTGCAACGGCTGCCGGCGGCGGTGGCGGTGGTGACCGGGGCAGGTATCAACCACCATTGCCACAACAACAACCACAGTAAAAATTTCCCATTTTTCCATTGCGGTGTACACTCGCGCACACAGAAAACACGGCCAACAGCAACAACAACAGCAGCAGCAGCAGCAACTGTAGAGGCAGCGGCAGCAGAAGCAGCAGCAGCAGCAAAGGCAACAAGAAATAAGGGAAGTCGACGGCAGCAGCAGCAGCGACTGAGGAAGAGGCGTGCGTTGTTGTTGCCATGCTACTTGTGGCCAGGGACGCGCGGTCAAACCGACAAACGAAAAGAAAAAGAGAAAAAAAGAAAAAAATAACAGCAACAACATGAAAAAAAAATTGAAAACACCAAAGGCGAAGAGGGCAAAAAATCATTGGAAGCAAAATAAAAATGTGCCATGAGAGCGCATCGCGCCAGAGAGAGCGGGGCGGCTCTCTGAGCATATTGGAAAGGCGCAGGCGGGCGCACAAAAAAATAAAATGACGTAGATAAAAAACACTCACTGGCTGACTGGGGCTTTATGAAAACTCATGCGGAAAACCGTGGCAAAAAAAATACGAAGCAAATTCTAAAAAAAAAAAAAAGAAAAACGTAAAAGGAATAACTCATCTTGCTCTCAATTGCTGTGCTCTCGCCGCTCTATCTCGCTCGCTCTCGCTCTATTTGTCTATTGCGCTGTGTGTCGCCGGCTCAGTCGCTCGCTCGTTCGCTCGCTCGCTTACTCCGGCCCCCCCGGCGGGCGGTCGCAGGCTGGAAAATTGGTTTCTTCACGCACGCAACTTTAACAACGGCATTCAACAGTTCCAACTGCGCGCGTGTAGGAGACACCCCACGGCCCCGCATCCAGTCTACAGTGCCAGGCTTCTTCTGGCAATCCTACGCACCCAATGCCCGAGCCACAGGTAGCGGCTAACGGCACAATTCTGCGAGCAGCCACAGTGGCGTCCACTGTGAGGGTGCATTGAGAGCAACAACTATCGCTAAATAGATCCTGTTTGCAATGCACGCACATATATATTAGTGATATTAATTTGGAGTGTGTTGGATTAGTCAGGGATTATAGATGGATAATCAGCAGATTAGCCAATTGCGCAAGATCTGAGTGATTTATACTGAGTCCGAGCTGATCTAGTTACTTGGGCTGGGCTTTAAGCCTAAGCCTTTACGGAAGTGATTTGTTTAGAACATGAATATGATGAAAAATATCGTAAGTCTGACTTTGATTATCATTAGAAAACTTTTTTGAACGGAAAATGTTTGTTATTTAATAAGCACATTAAAATAAGAATACAAATAGAATATTTATATTATATGGAAA